CCCCCCCCCCCCCCCCCCCGCGTGATTGCGGTGCTCCTCACACACTCCTTCCCCCATGTATGCACCACGATGCCCCTCTTGATGCTCTCAACGACTGCTGTTACCAAGGTATGTATACTGCTGCCTGTGACCTTTAGTCTAGCCTGCTTCCCCCCTTAACCTCCGCCTTCAGTTCGCATCGAAACCCATCCGTGTGTCTTGTACCGTCGATCATCAGACGGTGAAGCCCGAGCAAATATCGGGCATGCTGGTCCACAACGCCCACCGCGTGGTCGAGACGTCGAGCGAGGCATTCATCCTTAGGTGGGGCAGAGCATTTTTCAGAGGTTTATTGATTGTCTTTCGTTCGAATGACCTTCGTGAACCCCATTTTTTCTACACCGGAGGAAACATCGCTGTTTCTTTTGACAAGATTTACATACAATCACAGAGGGACCTACCACCATACCTCTCGACACCCAAGGAAATATCTCCCGTTCGTAGAAAAAGCGTGCAGACATGGGCCCTCTATGAGGCGAGTTGTATTCGGCGGGTGCCGCTGTCGTGCGGGTGAAATTGGCTGGCACAGATGAGAAGTCAAGGCGGTTCATACGTTGAATGTGCGGGTGCCCTGTATTGGGCGGGTGAATCGGTCGGGCGCGTACCCGCCTTATAGAAGGCCTACGACTGTACAACCCCCAGAGATACTGCCCGATCGAGATAAGGTACCGCACCAGTCGAAGGGGGCGTGGAGATATTTTTCTTTGTCTCCTTGTGTGCTGACCCTAAACTAAACATTTCTCGATTTTTCATACTTGCTCATTCTTTGGTTGAAGTTTTGATTTGGCGTTGTAACTCGGCAACCAACCCACCATCGTGCGCTTGGTCATTCTTGGTTGAAATATTTTGCGTTAACTTTAAACCACCATCGCCTTCTTTCTTTCGGGGTGTGATGCGAGAAGCCGAAACCGTCCTCGCACCCCTCTGCCACAATTACGCCCCGGACGCCCCTCTCTGCTTGGTCCTCGTTGTGGTCGAACGAAGCAATTGTCGCAAGGGCAACGGGAGCCCCCCCCCCACACACACACACATACACCTTACGCTCCACACGGCCCCATATGATTCGTCCTCGTTATGGCCAAACAACGAATATTTCGGGAGGGGAACAGAAGCTCCTCGCCTCCCCCCCGTACACATGTACATTACACCGTCTCTGATTTTGTCTTCGTTGTGGTCGAACAAATGATGTATCGGGAGGGGCACGGGAGCCCCCACCCCCACCCCCCCACACACATACTACGCTCCAGACGCCCCTCTCTGATTCATCGTCGTGGTGGTCGAACAAGGCATATGCCGGGAGAACGGGAGGACGTTCCCCTCCGGGTATACCCTTTGTTCGGCCACAAAGACGACGAATCGGAGAGGGGGGTCTGGAGCTTAACATGTGTGGGGGAAGGGGGAGGGAGGAGATCCCGCTCCCCTCCCGATACTTCCTTGGTCCGACCCCACCGAAAAAAAATACAGAGGGGGGG